TAAGGTGCCACAAGTACTCCTGTTCTTCTTTTTACTTTTAGGTTATGTTCTATCACTTTTTAAAACGTTATATTGTCTTTTTTTTAAAAGCTGGCAGCTACCTTGATCTTTTATGATGCAGCTAAATTATTCACATTTGAAGATCATACACATGACCTTCCTTGTCCAACTGCTGAATAATAATTTTCTCCAAGATACTTCCATCATTCTCATTTTCCTAAAACATAAGTGGGACAAGATATCAGCACACAATATGTAATGAGGAATACCATAGTCACACATACTGAAAAAAGCTTACTGCCTGTGAGAAATGCAAGTGTACAACTTTTCATATGCGAATGAGATAATGCAAATGAAATAGAACTCTGTCACAGGATTAGTTCCCAAATGTTATTTTATGCGCCCAGACACTTATACAACATAAACGTTGATGGGAGGTGAAGCAGAGACATTTATTTTTCAAAGCAGGAAATATTAATCAAATTACTATTATAATGCAATGAGATTAAATTTAAATCATCCATTTGATAGTACACCAGGCACTAGTAATGTATGTGTGTGTGTCTGTTACAAATTATTATTGATCTGATATATACTTGTTATAAGAGAATGGACTTGATGGAGATGTATAAATTCCTTGGAGGTCTTTTAACATATGTTATGGAACTCTCTCCCTCAATACAGTATTGTAATTTAAAGTTACCAGAGGTTACAGACAATTCTACACACCTACCTCAATGTTTTCTTGATACTTAGAAGCCATTTCATCTAGCATTTCAAAACAAGTCTGGAGTAACATTATTTTTAATGGTAGGCAAAAATACTATTCCCTGTCATGAAATAGTCTCTTCACCCCCCCCACATTAAGTGGTTTTAGAAGCAAATGAAAAATATAATGTATGCATTTATAGATAAAGTTGTGCACTGTTTGGATATATTTCAGTTATTTACAACTCATTACAGATGGTACAAGCCTAAGCACCAATCCTGCAACAATCAGGTCTGCATAGGTGGATGTCTCCGCCCAGAGCCACTTCAATGAGACTTTGCATAAGCACAGAGGTCTGCCCACACAAAGATAAGTGCAGGATTGGGGCCCTGCGTATCAAAAGCTACCTTCTGTTTTTATGCTTTAAGCTCATATTTATTTTTAATGTATAAAACACCTATTCTGTTTTCTGCCATCCTTCTCTCGACATGAATTCATTATTTGTTCACCTCTTCCTTATTACTAGTAAATGCACAAAAATAATATTGTGTATTACGAGTATGAAGATCACTAGAAACTTTTGACTTCTGAGTCATACCTTTAGAATTATATATTGCACAACCTTCAACTCCTAACTGGTTAGAAGGGGCTTGTCAGACAACTCAGTAATGCAAAAACATAT